ATGGTATGAGAAAGCTAAAATACATAAGTACTTTCAAAACCATGCTATAAGAAATGTTTTACTCTCTGAATGGGAGAAAGTTAGACACAAAATGTATATGAAAATTCCTGAGTGGCTTTCAACGATGGAAGCATTTGCTTATCCGAATCTGATTAATTATGATAAACTTGTTAGTTATAAAGACATTTTGGACAAGGACAGAAAACTCAAAGACAGGCAAGCCCTTCAACAAGAAGGTATTGACTTAACATGGTAGTCCTATTTGCAAATTCAAACAAGATATGAAAAAGACATAAAAATAATGGGATTTTACAAAGAGCTGACTCCACTTGATAAAATACTTTTAAAAACAGATGAACATTTGATTAAGAAGCTTTATAAATACTTATTAAATTGGAAGATGGAAAAAGAACAAGTAAAAGAGACAATGATAGTATGGGCGAAGAACTTTGGATATTCTATAGAATTAGAAGACTGGCAAAAACTGTGGGATAAAAATATCAAACTTACTAAAGCAGTAACATACAAAGAAAACTTATATAAAATGTTTTATAGATGGCATATAACACCAGTTCGCTTAGCGAAAATGTTTAAAAATTTATCAGATACATGTTGGAAATGTAAGCAAAAACCAGGTACTTATTATCATGCCTGGTGGACATGTTCTACTGCAAAAAAATATTGGTCTAAGATTCATAGATGGTTAGAAAAGATGATGAAAATCCAGATAGAATTTAAACCAGAACTGTTCCTATTAGGTATATTAAGACCTAATTATGGCAAAGAAAATTATTATTTAATATTACATGTATTAACAGCTGCAAGAATAGTATTCGCCCAATTTTGGAAAAATGAAAACCTACCATCAGACCAGATTATAATTTTGAAAATCCTAGATTGTGCAGAAATGGACAGATTAACGTTAGAGATGAAGGAGAAAGAAGATTCAATCTTTTATAAAACCTGGGGAAAATTTTATCAGTGGGTTGAAACATGTTAGAATAAGAAGAGATTTTAGAGCTTTATTATATTAAGTATTAAGGTTGATGATTGGAAATAGTTGTTATACTATTAACTATGTTAATTATTTAAAGGAATATTACTGTTTTATCAAATGTTAGTTGTAACTATACCGATTTATTTTTATAAATGTCTAGTATTATATAAACAATAATACTCAATATGAAAAAAAGAACTCTCTGATAAGTTGAAAGACAAAAAGCACAACTATAAAAAGTGGAAAGGGTGGCACATAACTAAGGCAGAATATCAGCAAGTAGCCCAAGCCTGCAAAGATGAAGTGAGGAAAACTAAGGCTCAAATGAACTAAGGCTTGCAACAAAAGTAAAAAAAACAAACCCAAAAAGTTTCTTTCAACATGTAAAAAACAAGAAAAAAGTCAAGGAAACGATTGGTCCATTAGTGGGAGAAAGTGGCAAGAAGGTGACAGGTAACAGGGAGAAAGCAGAACTACTTAACTCATTTTTTGCTTCCGTCTTTACACAAAGGGAAAAAACAGTCCAATCTATCAAAAACAGTACCGTAAAAAACAGCCTAGAAACACAAGTTAAGATAGGCAAGAAGATGTTAAGTGAGCACCTGTCCACCCTAGATGAGTTCAAATCAACACGACCAGATGGATTACACCCCAAGGTTCCGAAGGAATTGGCAGACGTGATCTCAGAACCACTGAACTATATCTTTCAAAGATCCTGGAGCACTGGGGAACTATCAGAGAACTACAAAAGAGCTGATGTAATTCCCATCTTCAAAAAAGGAAAAAAAAAATAGATCCAGGAAACTACAGACCTATCAGTCTGACCTCAATACCTGGGAAGATTCTGGAAAAGATAATCAAGCAACGAATCAGCGAACACCTAGAGGCAAACAAAGTCATAACCAAAAGCCAACGTGGGTTTGTTAAAAAGAGATCATGCCAGACAAATCTTATTGCATTCTTTGACAAGGTGAAAAAATTAATGGACCAGAGGAATGCTGTGGATATAATTTACTTGGACTTCAGTAAGTAGATAAAGTATCTACCATTTGATAAAGTAGACCACAACCTACTACTAGATAAGATAGAAAAATATGGGTTAGACAGCATCATCACCAGATCCGATTCATAACTGGCTGACCAACCGCACTCAACATGTAGTCCTCAATGGAACGGCATCTACATGGAGGAAGTATGCAGTGGGGTACCCCAAGGCTCTGTTTTAGGCCCAGTACTCTTCAATATCTTCATCAATGATTTGGATGAGGGGATAGATGGGGAACTCATCAAATTTGCAGATGACACCAAGCTGGCAGGAATAGCCAACACTCCAGAAGATAGGCTTAAGATACAGAAGGATCTTGACAGACCTGAACATTGGGTGCTATCTAACAAAATGTAATATAATGGTGAAAATAAGTAAGGTTCTATATTTAGGCAAGAAAAACCAAATGCACAGATACGGTATAAGTGGTACCTCGCTCAATAGTAGTAACTGTGAGAGGGAACTTGGAGTCCTAGTGGACAATCACTTAAGTGTATTCATGACAAAACTACTGCATGGCGGATCAACTGGATGCAGCTCCGTAGGGGAGCGGAGCCGGCGGCGGGAATGGGGAAGCCTCGGAGGGTCGCAGGCTATGCCTGGACCCTGATTTAGGGTGCTGGGTCCTCCGGCGGCTGGGAGGAATTACCGGTCGCCCCCGCTCTTCCTGAGCCCCCGGGGTTCGGCTGAGCTCCCCGGTCTCTTGGGTCTCGGCCTGAGCTGGGGGTGCGGCCTGGTAACCCGGCGGTGGGCGCGGCCTTCGATTCTCGGCCGGAGGAAGAGCTGACGAGGGCGGCGAGAAACGGCGGCGAG